TTATAGGTATTGAAATTCTAATATTGCCCCCTAAACTTCCCTTTCCTCTCATTACTAACTTGTACAAACTGCTTCATTGATAGAAACCCACAGACAAACTAAATTGCTTAAATAACCATCTTCTGATTTTAAATTCCTCTAGCTTTCTACATTTTCATGTCTGGTTTCCTTCCCTAAATGTCCTGCAGTTTTGCTTCCTGAATAGGATGAAGGTAAGATAAATAAAAGACTTGCCAAATAAATACCTGAAAATGTTTACTTTTCATTGCAGGTGTCCACATTATGTTCCTATTTAGGATGCTATTAGGAAGTAATGTTAGTAGGACTTGGCAGTATAGTTGAATACCACTAGAATTATGGTGCTAAGGAACAAAGATAACCTAAGTTAAAGGGATTTCAGGTACTTTGTACTCTTTACTTCAATACTAAAGCAGATCCATAATTTCATCAATGTGGGTACTCCCTCTTCCAACCAAGAACCCATCCTTTCACGTCTTAGAAGTCTTTATGAGAATTCAATATTTGGTGGTCAGTTGCTGAGCATTCCAGTGCCTGGACCTCTCAGAATCATAGCTAGGTCCTAGAATAACTGATATACGGTCAACCTCTAGCTTCATATTCAGAGCCTTTCTGGCTTGTTAAGACCCGTCATAGCCCTCAAGAACATAGAGTGACTGCAATAAGGCTTCAGAGTAGGACTTTAGCAGAATGTCCCAAGTTTATAACAATATAAACCAGTGTTTCATAACTCCTGGATCTGTCTTAGGGCTTTTCTCTTTAACCTATCATCCTTAGGGATTTCAACATTCATTGTATGCAAGAACACACTTTGACCCAAAATATAACTGAGAAGAGATTTTATAAGAGGATTTTACTATATTTGAAAATATAGAATGTCAAAAGTTTCATCAGCTTTTTGGGAATGGAAATACTATGTTCATTTTACTCAAACTGACCCAGATTTAGACCTTTCATACATCTGCCTTAAATGCTACAAAGGGAAACTTCTTGAATATATTTTTAAATATTCAGAGAATTTCAAAAATGTATTACCTACTCTTTTAGCAAAATATCCTTAGGGTAAGAATATGGATGTCCTACTTTCTTATGCCAAGCACAATTTGCCCAAACCCTAACATCAGTTGAAATATTGTCTCTTCTCCTATAAAGAACAATAAAAAATGAAAATTTATTTGGTTTTCTCCTTGATTTTGAAAAAAAAACTAATAGGGATTTTACTTCTTTAGTCGTCAAACAACTTACTTCCTAAGTAAGAATGGAAAGAGTGATGATAACGATCTGACTGATTTTTTTTTTCCTAACCAGGTTTAAGGTGTTACAGAAACAATTTGCCAGGAGGAATTTTAAGAAACAGGCAGCTAAAAGCTTTTAAATTTAAAATTGTAGTGGCCATAGCAAATTAAGAAATATTTACTTAGTATCTACTAAGTACCATATGTGCTGCATGTATACAAAAAAAAAAAAACTGGATACTGCTACCACTACTGATTCTGGGAGATTGTAACAAAAGTGTTATTATACATAAGGAGAAAACTGAATGGAAATAAATCTAATCTGAACTTTTTGGTGACATTGGGAACGTGGACAGTCCTTGGAGATCACTAACAGGAGAATAAAAGCAAATCAAAACCCGTCATGCCACATAATATAAGATAAAACTAAAGTAGTCTCTGAAACTCCCTGGGAGATTGCAACAAAATTGTTATTATACATAAGGATTTCAGGATCTATCTCTTAAAACTAGTTTAGAATTACAGATCTCTTTGCAAAACAAAATATCCCATGAAACACAACACTGCTTGTCATCAAACGTTTAAGATAACTTTAATCCTAATCTTTAATTCATCCCTCTCATATTCAGTTTCCAAAGGCACTGTCTTTTAGGGACAAGGGGTTGAACTTGAGAACAAAGCCACAGACTGAATTTAGGGAAGATAAATTGGGGGGAAAATAAGGAAATTCCTTTTTTTTGCCTTTTTTTTGATGAGGCAGTTGGGGTTAAGTGACTTGCCCAGGCTCATACAGCAAGTAAGTCACAAATCTTAAGTTAACCATCTCCAGATCCAGATTCACTTCAAACTTCTGTGACAGGTTTCATTAGAAAGAGTAAGAACAGGCTAAATAATACTAATCTTAAGAGGCCTCAAAGAGAAGTTATTTGCCAAGGCCAGATAAGTAAAACATTAAGTAAAATAAACTAGTATAGTAAACTGGTAAGAAATAAATTAATACGGTAAATTAGAGATTAGTACTATAGAGAAAGGAAAGAGGATATGCCTTCCAGGTTGCTAAGGAAAGGAAAGGAAGATGGATATTTGATTAAGAGGTTAAGGCTGTTACAATCTTTAAGAAAATGCTTAAATTTGTGTATCAACACTCATAAAAATTTCAGAAACAAGGCTGCAAATCTCAGCAAGTATAGAGAACAATGCAAATTTTTCAGTGAAACATTGTACGTGCAGGGTTTCTATTTCTGCCATAGTCAAGTAACTGTTATCATTTATGACTGCAGGAGAGAGCTTGTGCTAGGAAGGATGCCAAGGATTCTACAGAGTAGAGCTGAGAAGGAAAAGTATTTCTAGGCATGGAGGCATCATCTACATAGAGATGATAAGTAACTCATTGGATGAGAGAAGTGGGGAGGAGAGGGAGAGGAAGGGGAAGGAAAAAGGGGAAAAGATAGGGAGAGGAAAAAAAAAGGAGAGGAGGAAAAGAGAGGGAGGAGAGAGAGAAAGAGGAATAGACAAAATAAGGGCCCAAGACAGATCCCTAGTGCATACCCATGCAAAGTGGAGCGGTGGGGAGGACATGGATGATGATACAGCAAAGAAGCATAAGAAAGATCAAACAGGTAAGAAAATAAGAAAACAGAGAGAACAGTTTCATGAAAACCTAAGGAAGAGAGAGAATACCTAGAAGGAAAGAGTATTCAATAGTGTCAAAAACCACAGAAAAAGAGATAAGGGTGAAGACTAAGACTATTATATTTAGAAGTATGGAGATCGTTAGTATCTGTGGACAGAAGAGTTTCTGTTGAGTGATAGAATGGAAAGTCTAATTATGATTACAAAGGGTGGAGTGGTAAGTGAAAAGTGAGAAAGTACAAGAAAAAGTGGAGATGACTTGTTCTAGGAGTTTGGAAGTGAAAGAAAGGAGGTAGATTAAAGGAATTGTTTGATTAAGTAAAGGGAAGGGATTTTTAAGGATAAAAGGAGATTTGGACATGCTTATAGGCAATAGACAAGAAGCTAGTAGATAAAAAGAAACTGAAAATTTTAAAGAGGGGATAACTGAAGGGGCAGATTCATGGACAGAACTGGATCAAGGGCACATTTAGTAGGGTTGGCCTTGGTAAAGAAAGACTATTTCATTCTTTGAGACCGAAGCCACCAAGGAGAGATTAAGTAATGATGCTGAGTTGACAGATAGATGTCCCCTTTTCTCAGTAAAGTGGGAGTCAAAATCTGTTGCTGAAAAGGTAAGGTAGAATATAATACAGGTAGCTTAAAGAGAGAAGAAAAAATTCTGAGTAAATATTGGGACTAAATCAGGATAGAGCAAAATGATTACCTTGTACCAAGGAGGACCAAGATGAGATCAGCTAACACAAATTTGTAGCAGACCCAGTCAGCACAGTGAGAGTGGAGAAGGCAGGCAGTGGGATTATGGGGTTTGAAAAAGCAGATGTATGGTGACAGTTCTATCAGTTCTATCAACAGGCAAAGGATTCAGGGATACAAAACACTGTAAGGTTGACCTGATTAACCACAACATCGAGATTTTGAAGGGAAGAAAGTGAGGTCAGAACAGATCCAATGTGAGAGCAGAGAGGGGTAGAGTGATTTGGAAGCTACAGTGAAGACTGTGATGAGGTTCAGGGCAAGATGTAAAGACAGGGGGTTAAAATCAATGAGCAGAATTTCAGATTTGTAGTTTTAGAGGTAGGACACTTGTGCACGTTGATAATAGCAAAGGGCTGATCATCCTTGAGTGACTGAGGTGGACTGAAGGTCCAGCTGATAGAGTGGAGAGGTTGATGAATTTGGAGAGTGGTGTGTTTGGAGTGGTCAACTTATATACTGAAATTCTCAAGTATAAAGGCAGGCTTTGGAACATAGAGGAAGAATGTGAGCCTGCTATTGTACTTATGGAAAAAGATAAAGATTGACCTATATATAACTTCAGCATATGATTGCAAGAAAGATTTCCCAAAGATGATAAATTTGGATGAAATGAACCACTGAAAAGGAGAGATTTTGAAGGGATTCATAAATGGGAGGGGCAGTGAGTAAAAAGGAAGAGACCAACCCTTATTCCTGGTTGGGTGTGGTGAGGAGGGGGGAAGCCTGGAAGAGCTTGTGGTGCTAGAGACGGTCTGCGTAGTAAAGCTGGGTTTTCCATGACTTCAAGGAAATGGGAACAATATATGAGAGTTCTAATATGAAGAGCAGTTTGTTAACAATGTGATAGAAACTGAAGAAGTAAGGCTGGGGTAGACGGGGATATGAGGGAAGAGGGAGAGAGGTAGTAGGTAGAGACTTTGTTTTTTGCTTAGACAACCTTCAATTCCATGACTTGAAAAGGAAAAGGGGGTTTTTGTTAGCCATTCGTTACCCAGAAGATGGTTATAAAATAAAACATAAAACAAAAAGTAGGTCTGCCCCAAGTCCCAGCTCCAGTATACTCACTGGATTACCACTCCACTGGTAGAGTGGGGAAGGAATTGAATGGCTGGTTCTAGATGGTGAGAGGTCTAGTATTTGGGCCATTGATAGTTATGGGGAGGTAGCTCCAACTTATCTCTCTAGCCAAGATCTTCTCTCCAATGATGACTGGATTATCACAGTAACCCATCCTATCCTCACTCCTCTCACATAGGAGAGGAAGGACAAAAAAATTATTTTAATACTTATGTAAACACATTTAAACACCTGTGAATTTTTGAAAGGAACTACTTAAGAGTTCATGCAATTACATACCCAAGCGCTCACACATCTGCCACAAGTGGTGATTTTGAAATCTCCATAGAGATCTTTGATGGCACCAGTCGTAAAAAATCCTTCCACCATCAGCAAAATTCCATACACAAAGAAGGCAGCTGCTACACCGTAGATCACATACTTGAAAATGTCAATCCTGTGTGGGAAAAAGCCAGTTATTTATCTAATAACTTCATTGAAAAAGTTAAAAATTCAAAACTAACACTCTGAGGATTCATTATAATAAAAATCAATGTGATGCTTATGTTCTGGAATGGAAGATAGAAACAGGTCTAGATCATTTCAGCTAATATTACTGCATCTAGCTTGGTGTGAAACTTCCATTTTTTAATAAGAAATGTAAGCTATATATGAGAATGGGGACTTGTACTATCCTAGCAAAGGGCCATTTTTAGCCTAATTGGCTCCAAAATGGAATAAAGAATCATTACATTGCATAATACCTACGCATGTTGCAGAAGGACATTTCGTTAATGGAATACTATTTTATATGTAAATTGTTGTAGGTTAGAATAATTTGTGTCAAATTTTGAATGGTTAATTGTATTTGTAATATTTTCTGTTTTCATTTTATGCACAAATATAAATATATATGTATATATGTATATGTATATATGTATATATATATACATATACACACACACCCCATAACAGATCTAGTGAAACAGTGCTAAATGTTCATAGATATAGTTTTGATAATAAATGTAAATTAAATGCTACTTCATGAATATCCTATTCGTTCTTTCCTACTTTAGCACTAACCAACATTTAGTCTTTAGATTTCTATTGACATACATCTACATACATCATAGATCCAGAGCTAGAAGGGACCTCAGAAACCATCACATCAGTCAACTCATTTTATAGGTGAAAAAACTGAGGCCCAGGGATGTTGTGACTTGTCCAGTGTCACACAGAGAGCATCAGAGGTCATGTACTTTTTTCATAATACAATTCACCATCTAGCTTGATTTTTTTTTTTTATCAATGGCCATTCAGTTCTTTGAAATGGAAGATTTTTTCCCCAGGCTCCATTTCCAAAACCCTATATGGGTTCTTACACAGTTCCAAAATTAAACTGTACTATAAAATAACTATTTGAATCCATCTAATGGTCTCCAATGGTTCAGTCTACAAAGTTATCATTCTTTCTCTCTGTCTGTATTGGCATACAAATATATATGCATAAATACACATGTGCTGTATATCTGAATATACATATTATGTAAACCACATATACATACATTTAAATACACATGCAGTAGGAATGAAACATTGCATACACATATCATATGTGCAGTACTGCTTTCTTTAAATATGTGATCAATCTTTATTCCATTTAACAATGAAATAGTTTAAGATTAATTATGTTAAAATGGGTAAATGTGTCACAGGGCAGAGTCAGAGCCTGAACGACATCATCATCAAGGAAGGGGTCAGGTTGACTAGCATCACCAAATCAGAGTCAGGTGTCAAAAATGCCCAGCCAGGGGAAGGCAAAGAAATGCTCCTGCTGAGGTGATCTGGCAAGATTCAATCATACAGGAAAATAGGAGCCAAAACCATAAACTGTAACAGTATGTCAAGAATCACAGAAGCCCAAGGGTTAAGACAGCTAAACAAAGAATAGATTCAACAACAGATTGACAGTCCTGGCTAGGTCTCATTCTTAAATGAGAAACACTGATCAAAGGTTGAGTCTCACGTGCCAACACGAATAGAATTATATATATTGACATAAACATAAAGACTAAAAAGCAGCTACTGTCTGTCTACAACAGGGAAGACAAATAGTAAATCTATGAATTAGAGTTCTTTTTGTACTTACAATGTCAAAGCTTATCTTTTAAATGTGACATTTCTCCATTAAGTATAAGTTTCCATTCCTTGTTATTTATTTTAAAGCTGTGGTATATTCACTGTTAAGAACTATATGATTTGACCTGTGGCTAAATTACACTCAATTAGCACACATTTAGTGTTGATTACACCTCCCTTTAGTAATGTTAAATATTTTTACATGCTGATTGCTGTTACTTTGCACTTTTATTTTCAGTATATTCATAGGTTTAAAAAAAATACTAATAGAATGAAGGTTCTTGCAGAGACCAGCATAATATATCACATCATTTCACTGCACATCTAATAAATAAGTAGCTTTTACAACATTATATATTTGTAATGTTCCCTATTTAATTGCAAAGTATATAACTACACAGATTCCTTTAAAGTAATTAGATAGGCAAGATTTTTTTTAAACTCAGCTGGAGATGGTTTTGAATCCCAAGGGTAGTGCTAATTCTTCTACTTGCTATGTAAACTTTTACAAATTTTATTTTAAAAAAATAGGAATACTTAGACTATCTACTTCATAAAGCTGTTCTGAACAAAGAACTTTGTAAATCAAATGTGAGCCACATTCCATCCCCTTTCTACCTCTATGAGCAATCTTATTTGGTCCCTTAGAACTACATATTTCAATCCAGGTTCTCCAACCTACCACTAAAAAATAGGCCCTTGACTTAAATTGAGAACTATTTAGAGTTGAAGCCGCCAGAGTTGATAGTAGTAATTGGGAAGTGGGTATAAAAGCCTATTGTATGAGTTCATGATTTAGATTAAAGGCTGATACTATAAGTAAAGTGGGAGAGCAAGGAATAGTTTACCTATCAGATCTATGGAGAACAGAAGAATTCATGACCAAGCAGGAGATAGAGAAAATTATGAAAAGCAAAATAGATAACTTTGATTACATTAAATTGAAAAGTTTTTGCACAAACAAAGCCAATGCAACTAAGATTAGAAGGAAGGTAGAAAATTGGGAAAGAATTTTTACAACCAGTCTCTCTGATAAGGGCCTTATTTCTAAAAGATATAGAGAATTAAGTCAAATCTATAAAATACAAGTCATTTCCCAATTGATAAATGGTCAAAGACATGAACAGGCAGTTCTCAGATGAAGAAATTAAAGCCGTCTATAGTCATATGAAAAAATGCTCTAAATCACTATTGATTAGAGAAATGCAAATCAAAACAACACTGACATACCACATCACATCTATCAGATTGGCCAACATGACAAAACAGGAAAATGATAAATGTTGGAGAAGATGGGGGAAAATTGGAACACTGATGCATTGTTGGTAGAGTTGTGAAATGATCCCATCATTTTGGAGAGCAATTTGGAACTATGCCCAAAGGCTATAAAAATGTGCATACCCTTTCACCCAGCAATAGCACTTCTAGGGCTATATCCCAAAGAGATCATACAAATGGGAAAAGGACCCACATGTACAAAAATATTCATAGCAGCTCTTTTTGTGGTGGCAAAGAATTGGAAATTGAGAGGATGCCCATCAACTGGGGAATGGCTGAGCAAGTTGTGGTATATGAATGTAATGGAATACTATTGTGCTATAAGAAATGAAGAATTAGCTGACTTCAGAAAAACCTGGAAAGACGTGTATGGTCTGATGCTGAGTGAAGTGAGCAGAGCCAAGAGAACGCTGTACATAATAACAGCCACGTTGTGTGATGACTAATATTGATAAACTTAACCCTTCCCAGCAATACAAGGATCTAAGACATCTCCAAAGGCCTCATGATAGAAAACATTATCCACATCCAAAGAAAGAATTATGGAAGTTAAATTGCTATTTTTTTCCTCTTCTGTTGAGTTTTGTTTCCTCTTTCTGGTGGTTCCTCCTATTGGTTCTAATTTTTACTTACAACATCACTAATGTGAAAATATGTTTAATAGGAATGTACATGTATAGCCTATATCAGATTGTGCACTGCCTTAGGAAGGGTGGTGGGGAGGAAGTGGGAGAAAAATTTTAAACTCAAAAGCATATGGAAGTGATTGTTGATAAATCAAAATAAATTAATAAAAAAAATTTTTAAAGAGCCTATTTTAGGCCTTAGAGAAACAGGGACAGGTACTAGCCAGAACTTAATGCCATATATATAAAATAAAAGTCAGACATCATTACTGTAATAAAATATTTTCATCCTCCCAATATGAAGATAATATAACAGAAAAAACATGTCTGTATCTATGTATTATCAGGGGAAATGACATTAAAGAAGCATTCCTATCTGCTTTGCCTCTCCACCCTAAGGACAAGGAGACCTTTCCATCTAACTTGCAACTGAAACCTTCCATGGGATATTTCCTTCTTTAGACTATCAGCAATTGGGGGCAGTTAGGTGGTGCAGTGGATGGAGCACCGGTCCTGAAATCAAGAGCATCTGATTTCAAATTTGGCCTCAGATCAAACACTTGACACTTACTAGTTGTGTGACCCTGGGCAAGTCACTTAACCCCAATTGCCAAAAAAAAAAAAAAGAATGTGAGCTCTTTGAAAGCAGGAGTTTCTTACTTTTCTGTTTATATCCTTAGCGCGTAGAACAGTGTTTTGCACATACTAAGTACTCAGTAAATACTTTATTCATTCATAGATATATACATTATATATATATATATATATATAATATATGTATAGATATACTTACATATATCTATGTGTGTGTGTATATATATATATGTATATGTGTACATATATATATATATGGTATGAGGTTGTGGCAAATAGAGTGCATTTTTTAGCATGAACAATGTTAACAGGAATTTTTTTCTATGAATCTCAACAATTAATACAGTTTGTAAAGTCCTTCATTTCCAGGTTTTAGAATGTCTAAGAACATTGGTCCAAATACAGTAAGCCTATTTAAGTTATTTTTACATGCCTTTTTCTCTGTATTCAAATTGGCCACAAATTTCTCTTACACTTCCAACCTAATTTTCAAAATGCTTCATTTCCACTGACAAGGTTATTTTTTATTTCTCATAATTAATTATTCTGTATTTAATAGTTTCATAAATTAGAAGGATGATTTCATGTATCATACAGAGAGATGATGTGAAACTAGCTCTAATAAGGGTATTTTATTTTTATTTTTGGCAGAGGCCACCAGTACCTTGAAGCTTAAACATGCTGTGTTCTTGGCAGAGCAAAAAAGATTGTGATGACAACAGGCATGCGAATTTCACTTGGAAGAAGAACTTGGTACATGACCTAGAATCTCCTTTTCACATAAATTGCAGCCATTCTGCCCCATCACACATTTTTTGGT